GCTTGTCTTCTTCCAACACCACTTCGATTATTACATCATCTTTCTTCTGCCCGCTAGGAAATTTTGTTCTCAGTCCCTCTTTAGCGGGCTTCGTTAATTGCTATTGAATCTTCATACGGTGGCTAGCTAGATAACACGTCCGTGAAGCTTCTTGATCTCCCCGAATTGTTTCCACTCCTCTTGACGTTGGGAATTTGATACATTGATGATATGTAGAGGGGACTGCTTTCATTTGATAAATCCAGGGAGTACCGAGGATGATGTTGTAAGCTGCGGGCTTATCGAAGACAACGAAGTCCACGATCTTTGATACTTTTTTGGCAAGGACCGGTAGCTTGATTGTCCCGAGAGACATGGCTGATTCACTTGTGAATGCGACTAATGGAGACGGAGGCCCCACTATGTCTGCTCGGCTGATTCCCATTCTTTCTAGAGTACTTAAAAAGATCAAGTCGACCGAACTGCCTGTATCTATAAGGATCCTTGATACTTCGAAGTTGGCAACATCAAGGGTAATGACTAGAGCGTCATCATGAGGCCTTTCGAGGTACCGCGTTTCTTCTTCATTAAACGATATTGATGCACCTTGAAAATCGACTTCTTCGCTTAAGCTTGCTTTGAATAGGATATTTCGTCTATGTTTCTTGATGGAACTTATCGAATCTCCGCAAAATCTGGAACCTCCTAGAATAACATTGATCTTACCCTTAGAACTCCTTGGTTCTTCCTCGTTGGATAACCTTGGTCTTTTGGAATCTTGATCTTTGGAGTTTTCCTTTGCTTCGTGGTATTCCTTCACAAAATCTTTTATATCGAATTTGGAAAGATCTCCACTGGCCCAAAGCTCTGCGAGGTGCCTTTTAAGAACGCTGCAATCCTTGGTTAAATGTCCGGTTACTTTATGAATGTCGCAATATAGACTTTCATCACGGACCCAAGTGTTTGATCTTCCTTTTCCTTGGAATTGCTTTCCGACGGTACTGTTGAAGGGTTGCGACCCAAACTTCTTTGGTCCTTTGCTCTCCCTAGGCTCGAACTTCTTGGTAGGGATGGTGATCGCCGGCTTTTCTTGCTTATTTCTTTTGGCAAAACTTTCTTTTTCGTCCTCTACCTCCATCCAGTTGTTCGCGCGGAAGAGTGCATCCTGAATTGTGTCTGGTTTATGAAGTATTAAGTCTTCTTTAAACCTTGAATCATGTCGCAGTCCTTTTCGTAGGGCAGATAAAGCTGATTGCTGCGAGATTCTTGGGAGCTTTGACAGCACTCCTTTGAACTTGGTGATGAAAACTCGAGGTGACTCACTTGACCCTTGCGATAAGTTCCAAAGATCGGCATCCGAAACGCTTTTATCCATAAGGATGGAATATTGTTTTAAGAATACGGCTGATAGTTCGTCGAAATTACTGATCGAACCCGGCTCTAATTGGGTGAACCACATTAGAGCTTGGCCACATAGATTCTCCGAAAAAAGCTTGCAGTAACCTGCGTCCTCATCAGCTTCATCCAATTCGACTCTTCCAGCAGCGATCAGAAAAGCTGCGAGATAGCTTTTTGGATCCTCCAATCCGCTGTAAGGGTCCAACTTGAGCTTCCGGGAATCTTTGATCCTCAAACTTGCAATTCGCGAGATGAAAGGTGTTCGCCTAGCTTCTTCAATGACTCGATTTATGTCTGGCTCCGAACTTGTAGCTTGATGAAATTTTGATTTCATTTCTTTTAGTTCCTGGCTAACCTTCCTCATGGTCTCGAACTGGTCGGAAGTGTGATAAAGAAAAAAAATCTGACCACTCAAGAATCCTATCTCCCCACAGGCGGCGCCAAAATGTGGATGTCGGATTCACACACTCAAGTATTATATTAAGTAGGAAAGTTTATTCTTGAGGGACAAAAATGAATATGTAAAAACTTATAAATTGCTATGAAAATTGTTATGGTATTTCTTTCTTGAGAGGAAGATCCTTTTACATGGCCATTGGCCTTTATATTTATACATAGGGAAACGTCATTAAAATGAGTAATTAAGTACAATTATTCCTTCTTAAATGTGTCCGTTTTGATTCTTCGACTTTAATGCTCAACGTTTGAATTTGAGTTGACTCTGATCTTCATGGGCCTCGCCTCTTTGGCCCAAGTGTCCTTGAACCGACTTACCCGTGTCTTCTACACCGAACTCGTGTCACAGTGCAGTCACTTCGGATTCTCGAAGTGGTGACAACCACTTCGACCGTTCCTTCGGATCATTGGTCTAATGGGCTTCATCCTTTATGGGCCATTATCTTGACTACGTGGCAATCTTTGGTTGGTCTCGTACTTCTGGTGCGGGATCCGACACCAACACAACTCATACACCGGATTTTCCATATTTAATAATTTAGATATTTAGAAGATTTGATTAAGATTTATAATTATGATTCTCCTATCATCTTTGTTTGATTTGTTTTTAACTGTTTTGAATCATCATATAATACATAAAGTAAAAAAAAAAAAAAATCAATTTTCTTTCTGCATATACTGTGATTCAAAATTTTTAAAACGGACATATATTATCCAATTAACGAAAATGTGTGTTCAACGTTCTACATCGATTAAAATATTTAGATAATGATTCAGAATCATATCATAAATAAGAACATTAATAAAATAAATGAGTTTTTTAGCCGGACGGATTTGGCGGGACGAGTTTTTGAATCAACAATAATAAAAAGATTAAAATATCATTAATCCGCCGCTTCAATACGGATTAAATCTTTTTTTTTTAATATCACCAATATTAGACATATTAAATCAGTCTCATTTAGAAAAGATTGTATAAAACCAAAACTTGTCCCGTGGTATAATGTCCCGTGGTCTTAGAGGATGATATGATTTGTAAACTTTTATATATAATAAATATTCATTAAATTTTAAAATAAAAACAAATCACGGAACGCGTTAACAAATTACGGAACGGGTTATATTTCAGAAAAGATTTATATGACGGACAAAATTGAATCAATATTTATATACCGCTTTAATACAGGTTAAATCCTCAGTTTATTAATAATTGTCTCGTGGTATATCGTTACTTAATAACAATTGTAAACTATAATATAAATAAATATGTTATAAGGAGATACAATTTACAAAATATTTTTACACTAACTTTAAAATTAAATCTAGTACAAGTTAAAATCTAGTACTTTAGTTATAAACGTAATTTTAAGTAAAACATATGATACAAGTCCATAAAATATTAGCCTTAACATAAGCAATCATATATGTGTTTTTGATCAAATAGCTAAACATTTTAACAGAGAAGGTAGGATTCTAAACACCAAAGGATAATAATAGGCTTTGATGAAGAAAATTTGGTGAAACTGTTTTGTGATCCATCTAATTTTGTGTAGTCTTTCAGATAAATTAGTCATGTTCTACGAAACCCATTCAAATTGAAATCTATTTTAAAAGACGAACTCTAAGATAAATTAGTCATGTTTTACATATATTACTGTTGATGATTTAACTTATAAATCTCGAATATTACTTTTGTCAAGCATATTTCTATTGTTGCATTTAAAACTGGATTACAATATTTTACAACAAGCAAAACAGAGAGAAAAAAATCGCCGTAATTCAAAAATTGGCCAACCAATTATATTGAAAGATATAAAAGTGTTTGTGTAGGTCATAGGTCAACAAATGTTTAGTGGAGAATGAGTGGCGCAACTTGTGAGGACATGCAAGTTTTCTCTAATTACGACGAGGATATTATTGTGAATTAAAGCGAGATTCTCATGAATCTAGTCATAATCTATGGGTCACTGTCCCTCCATTTACATAAAACTTTTCTATTTTCTTGCAGAAATTTTCAATTTATTTGTTCCTATACTAATTACAACGTTGAGTAAAAGATTAATGGATACACACCTTGTTTCAAAAATCGCTAGACGCTAGTCGGACATTCGGTATGGGCCTAGCGATTAATCGGAAAATTGGATTAAAATCGGAGATTAATCGGGAATTAGTTTTAGCGTTATTTTAATATTTTTAAAACATATTAATCCAATATTATTTTCAAAATTGCAGTAAACACATAAAACTGTATTTTTGAGATAAATTTTAATGATTTTTATTAAAATTTGAACATAAGTTATTGTAAAACATCACAAACTCCCAATTTAAATGATTGAATAACAAAAATAATTTTTTTTTTATACTTGCGATTTAAAAATAATCGGAATATGTAAAATTAGGCGGGAGTAATCGGATTAGGTGGAAAGTATTCGGATTAGGCGGAGCGTAATCGGGTAACTGATTTTTTTAGGGGATTAGTCATACATTAATATATTAGCTTTTACAACTTTATGAGGATATTATCCTAACTAAAACTATACTCCCTCTGTTCCAAAATATAGAATTTTTGGGTTAAAAGCACGCTTATTAAGGAAAATTTTAACACAAAATAACTCATTAATTAAACACATTAAATAGAAGGGATAATTAAGAATGTTAAGAGACACAATACTAATAACGATGGAGTAGAATTTAGAATTTTAAAATTGTTTGACCAAAATTGTTTTAATAAATTGAATATTTGCATAGAAATCTGAGAAAATTCTATATTTTGGAACAGAGGGAGTATAAAATAGAGATAGTTTAGAATAACAAAGAAAACTATATGATGATATTCAATTAAGAAAAATATAACTATATATCTTAATTACCCAAAAAATAGTTATGGACCTAGAATAAGGATTTGAAAAATAAGCTACTTTAGACTTGGTAATGGGCTAATGGTCCATCAACTATATCCATATAATCAAAAGTTCCAAACCCAGTCGCCAACTCTTGGAAAGCTGGTTCGATCTAAACCGGTCAATTTTTTGTTCCGATTCAGTTTGGGTTCATCTCTATTAGACCATCCTCAACGGTGGGTCTTACATGGGGTTCTTTACAATTAATGGATCAAAAATAAACCATGGTTATGTAAAGAAACGAGTCTTAAACGGGAAGTTAAAGAGCCCATAAGAGTTGGTGTCGTGGCAGTTTGTAATTGGTCGATGGATGTTTTATGAAACGGAAAAAAAAATGTCGTGTTTCTCTTTCTTTTCTTGGAGACTTGGAGTTTTTCTTATGCACTGCTTTCTCGCCGAGATCGAAATCTCATCCGATTTCGTTCAAATCTAAAGCAATCGGTAACAAATCTGAGGGCTTTATTCACCCATCTCATTATCTCCACAAGTATCAGCATCGGGTATGATTGGCGAAGCTAATTGGCAAGTTCCAGAGGAGCAATCGGAGCTTTGAAATCACCAAACCATAGGGTTTCTTCACCAAATCGCAAGTGTTCTTCACAAATATCTTTGTCCTGGTACGATTCTAGTTCTCATGGTACAAATTCTTAAGTTTATTTAGTATTTAGGGTTACTTGATTTTCTGAGAAAATTAGGGTTCTTCGATATTAGTTAAATTTGGGGTTTTTGAATCAATAAGCAGGTCATTTGTATATTGTGTTTTGTAGAGACTTTAGAGAACTGAGAAGCATCCATTCAACAATGGAGGCTGCGATTTGTGGGAGATTAGCTCTCGCAGCATCCTCTCTCTTTAATTCTAAATCAGGTTTCTTCTTCTTCTTTGTTTCCGTATCAAAATCTCTTTGTTCTGTTCGGATTCGTTTGAATCAAAGTTCGAAACTTGAATTAGTAATCAAATTCTGAACTTTTCTATGTATAATTTGCTCATGCCAATTGATTACATACAAATTTTCTACGTTGGTATTGATTTGTGAGACAATTAGATGCCTTGTTGAATTGAATCTCTCCTGTCTGAAAAGCAAATTCAATTGAATAATCAAAACAGAACACAATTATAGGGTTTTTGATGTTTATGTCTAATTATTACATAGAGATAATCTTTTACCAAAACAGAACACAATTATACACTTTTAAAACTCTTAAGGCGTTAGGGAAGTTCATAATTGCATTTGCAGCAACACCACACTTGAATCTTGAGAAACACTTGTTCTATAGATATTAGGTGAGACTTCACCTCTTGCCTTGAATGCTTGTTTTTTTTTAACAACTCCTTGAATGCTTATTGTCTGTTTTGTGATAAATGCAAGTGAGATGTTGATTAGGTTGTCAACATCACACTTATTGATTGCTTAATGTTTATGCTCTTTGTGTTCAATGCTATTAGTAGTCTGATGTTAGGTAAAGTCATTAGTTTGATACTGACTGTTAACCACAACTTGCTGGTCTAACTTAAATCTATATTAAGCCTAAATCTATATCTTAACAAAGCCCACAAAAAACCAGAAGCTTGCGACACCACTTCTCTTTCCTTTTGCTTTTACCACTCTTTTTTCTACAACACATTCTTGCCTTGTCCTTTTACCACCCAGAGACTAGGAAATGGATCCATTTTATCACTCTTCTGGCTTCTTGGACCTCCTACAAAGTCAAACTGGAACCCACAGACCTGAACCAAGTCTTCATGAGAGTCTTTCACCAAGATCAAATCTTGGTGAATCAGAAGTGCCAGTCCAAGCTAAAGATCGTAAATCACAAAAGAAATGGACCCCAGAAGAAGATGTTGTGCTCATAAGCGCTTGGCTAAACACAAGCAAGGATCCAATTGTTGCCAATGAGCAAAGAATTGAAGCTTTTTGGAAAAAGATAGCAGCTTATGTTGCATCAAGTCCGAAGCTAAAGGGAAAGCAAGTTAGAGAAGCTGATCATTGTAAGCAAAGATGGGGTAAGATTAATAAGAATGTCTGTAAGTTTGTTGGATGCTATGATGCAGCATTACTTCAGAAATCCCAGTGGCCAAAATGACAATGATGTCATGAAGCTTGCACATGAGATTTACTTCAATGATCTGAATAAGAAGTTCATGATGGTTCATGCCTGGAGAGAGCTTAGACACGATCAGAAATGGTGTCAAAAAGAAGAAACCGGAGTGGCGAAAAGAAGGAAGTTTTGTGAGGGTTCTACAAAGTCTTCAGGCTCAAACACACAAAGCCAAGGAGATGATTCAGCTATGGCTCGTCCTATGGGAGTTAAGGCAGCAAAGGCTAAAGCAAAGGCTAAAGCTTCCACTGTAGAAGGAGATGGGAAGGTTGTGGTTGAGTTTCAGCAAATGTGGGAGATTAAGCAAAAGGATATTGCTGCCAAAGATAAGTGTACCAATAAGCAGTTGTTGAAAGAGCTACTTGGCAAAACAGAGCCGCTGAGTGATATTGAAACTGCTTTAAAGCACCAGCTCATAACTGAGCTGTTGTCTAAGCCTTGAATGTTTTTCCTTTGTTCTGGTTTAGTTAATGTTTCATGTTCTATCTTTGCTTTATTTGCTTCAGTTTATTTGCTTCAGTTAATGTTTTTCCTTTATTTGCTTCAGTTAATGTATGATTCAGTTAATGTATGATTCAGTTAATGTTTCAAACGTTTATCCTTTAAATTTGGCCAGAATCTAGCTATACTAGTTCGTACAAGTCTTAACCATGAATATTTATGTTGTTTGTTATTGTCATAAGGAGATACGATTGATTAGGGACACACCGACCATTCTTGGATGCCAAACATTGACGAGGTTCATTTACAGTCAGGTAATATGTTGTTGATGAATATTAAGAGAACTAGAATGCATACCTAAGTTGGAGGCTTTGAATTATTAAAGAGATTGAAATTTAGACTATACCACACTTGAATCTAATTAAAGTGTTTGATTCTATTTTCTTTTTGCAGGTTGTGGAAGACATCAGTAGTTGTGAAGATACCACTTGTGCCGACATCAAGACAGCATTTGGTTTTTTGTGCCGACACCACAAATCATATTCTTCTTTATGACACTTTTGTATGATTTATTGTAGACCACAAAACAATATTTCCATGTGAATTTTTTTTTGTTTTGTATGAGTTTGTAGCTTTCTCTCATTCAACCAACAAGGCAAAATTTTCTCTATATATACAACAAGGATCTCACTACAAAAAACACCAACAATTCTCTCACTACAAAAAACAAAAATTCTCTCACCACAAAACGTCTCTCTCTTTGAGTAATCACTCTTCTTTATTACATATACATTTTTCTTTCCACAAACAAACTTTTCCTTTTCTCCAATACATTATCCCCTTATTATTAAAAGGGAAGTACAAATTGAAAAATGGTCAAATTTAGCCTCAATTTCAATTTCAATTTTGGATTTTGTTCTTTGTTAATCAAAATCGACAAGGGCATTTTGGTCATAAAGTTTCATTAAACTTTAAGAGATCCGCGTGTTAATACTCGGGTGGGTTAGGAGTAATTAACTCTTAATCACATAGTCAAGTTCTTAATCGGGTTTAGCATCCACATAAGTCAATCTAAGCCGTTCAAATTATTTTGTAAATTTAGTTCATTTTTGGTATCTAAATATGAGCATATTCGATCATAATAACTGCAAATTCAATGTAATTATCTCTCATAATAACTACAAATTCGATCATATATTGCCTAATCCCAAAAAAATCGTAATTACTATCTCTCATAAATATAATCCTAACCATAACCAACTCTACAATATTCATCATTTATCTAAATATAGCCAATCATTCAATTCTATTCCAAATTCGAATATATTTTGTTAATAGTATCTTTGATTTTATGCTTTGTCTCCAAGATATTCTCCTAGATTTTAAAATTATTGGAGCCAAAAACCCTAGCATCCTAGAATGCTATAAATATCAACGTCATTCTCATTTCCAATCCATCACTCAAATTCCTCTAACCTTAGCATCCTTCTTATTTAGATATCACAAATGGCTCAAGCAATTGCTTACCTCGATGACATCAAACCATACAAAACCACTTGGAGAGTTCAGGTCCGTGTCCTTCATACCTGGAAGACATTTACCACAAAGTTTGGTGAGACTTTCGACATGGTTCTGTCTGATGTCAAAGTAAGAATTCTTTGACATGTCTATATTAGTTCAATATATTAAAATAAGTTGTCTAATGATATACTAATATATTTCTATTTCTATGGTAGGGCAAGAAGATCCATGCGTCTGTGAAGAGAGAGCATCTCAACCGTTTTGAGAAGCTCATGGTTCCAGGAGAGTGGAAGGCTATTGAAAACTTTGGATTGACTTATTCAACTGGTCAGTTCAAAGCAACTGATCATCGTTACAAAATGGGCTTCATGGCGCAAACAAGAGTTGTGAGGATGGATCCATTGTCTGATTCTTATTACCTGTCATTGACTCCTTTCAATGATGTTTTAACTGCTGGTCTCAACCAGAACTACTTGATTGGTACATTTTCATATTAGCTATATTTTCATTTTTATCTAATCCTTTATGCAATATATATTGACGTTTTGATATTCTCTTTTGGTTCAAGATGTTGTCGGTCAAATCGTGAATGTTGGTGAAATGGAGACTATCGACGTGCAAAATAAACCTACTAAAAAGATTGATTTTGAACTGAGGGATCATACGTAAGTTTCATTCATTAGTTCTGTCGGCATTAAAATTAAATATGTCTTATTTTTGAATCTAATATTGCTATTACAATATTTAGGGATGAAAGGCTACCCTGTACTCTATGGGGTTCATTTGCAGAACAAGTTTTCTCTGCCTGTGAAGCTTCTGCTGGTGAGATGGTCATATGTTTGGTGAGATATGCTAAGATCAAGACTTACAAAGGTATTTTGTTTTGGTATTAATATCATACTTATAGTTTTTTTAAATCTTTTAAAAATTGAGCTGCTGACACTTTCTTTATGTTTTGCTTTCTAGATGTAAGGAGTATCTCCAATGCTTTCAATACATCTCAGATCTTGATCAATCCAGACATCCCTGAGATTGTTGCCTTCAAAGAAAGTTTACCAAAAGATGGGCTTGCTCTTACTCTTCTTGAGTCTAAACCAAAGCAGGAAATGATCGAGCTGACTACAGGGGATTTCTATCTTCAGTTTCCTAAGAAGACCATCAAAGAAGTCGCTGAGATGTTTGATGTAATAGTTCTTTTTTTCTATTACATTCTAATTTGATTGCATAGTTTATTCTAACCAACTTTTAAATGTTCCTATTTTCAGACTGGGAGGGTTAAGGTGCTCTGTACAATATATGATATTGACAGAGATTGGTCGTGGTATTATATTGCCTGTAGGAAATGCAATAAGAAAGTGTCTAAGGTTGTCACAACTTCTCTCAAGCCACAATTCTGGTGTGACTCTTGCCGATCACCTGTGTGCAATGTGGTTGCAAGGTATGGTTCATAATCTACTGATATATTAATGATTTATTTGTTACTGAAATGTCTAATTGTAACGATGAACTCAACAGGTACAAGCTACATGTTAAAGTAATGGATTCAACTGGTGAGATGAAGCTGATGCTTTTTGATAGTATGGCTTCTGAGATTGTTGGCTGTCCAGCAAACAGTCTCCTTGATGGATCGTTCGATGAGTTTGAGGACCCAGAGAACCTACCTGATGCGATCAGACATTTGACTGGTAAGACATACCAGTATCTGGTCTGTGTGGAGAATGAAAATGTGTGGAATGGACTGGATACTTATAAGGTATCCAGAGTTCTTGCTAATGATTGTGTTGGAGAGGAAGATCTACCAGATGATTCAATTGATCAGGTATGGAATATTATAAATTTTGTCTGAGGTCCTACCCCCTATGATTTGAGAAGAATTCGATATATCAATAATCCTAATCTTATTATGTTTTAGACTCAGGGGAGCCTGCTGCTTACCTACTCTGGAGAGCCTTCAGAGACTACTACTCCATCTTCTAAGAGGAGTAGTGACAGTTCTCTGTCACCAGCTGATAATTCCTCTACAACTAAGAAACTTTGTCTTGAGTCAATCAACGTTGTGAAGATAAAGCAAGAGAAGGGTGTGAAGACTAATGAAGATAAAGTCGATGGAGTCAAGCTCGAGTGTGTTGCTCTGAAGCAGCATGAAGAGAACACTGATGAAGACAAAGTCAATTTGGACAAGCTCAAGGGTTCTGATGTTAAGCAGAAGAACAAGAATATGAAGTAGTTGACATCCAACAATGTTTTTTCTTTTTAGATTTGTGTTTTCAATAAATGGTTTATGTTAGCAGTTTACACATTTGCTTCTGTTTTCTAAAATTTGGAATGTTATTTGGTTTTATTGATTTTTCTATTGGTTTTTATTACAGTTAATATCTGTTGTTTAATGTTTCTTTAAATGTTTCTTTAATCACTGGAAAACATACATCAGTGTTCTTATTATGTTGGTTTGATATTTCTCTAAAAACTTTTTCTTAATTGTATAAGTTTTTTCATTTGTTTTTTTCCCTATTGGTTCTTTAAGTTTTTAAGTTGAATTCTTCATCTTAATTCGATATATGATGTATAAGATATGTTCCAAGAAGCTAAACATTCACGTATAGTAAAAAAAGACTTACTTTTATGGTATTCTTCAGCATGTATTTTCCAACTGCACCATAAGGTTAATGCACCTAATCCTGTCAAAATGAATCAAATATGTAATTTTTACGGTTTATTGGACCAGGAGTAAGATACAAATATTCTCCTCTTACCAAATACACAAAGAGTAAATATATTAATATTTCAGAAAAATAATAACAAATATACGGTTTAAAGAATTAAAATCTTACCGGTGAGAGAAGTATGGAAACTCTAAATCTATCAAATCATTGTTATTATTACGTTTCCATTTTCAATGCTAATGTCAGTCCATATGTAATCATCACTTATAGATAATATTGAACTTTTATTGTTTTTTTAGGCTTAAACGTTTCATATAACTGCTAAGGAACTTCTCTTCATAAATATATAACAAGATCTCCACAGAATTAGTCACAGGGAAACCCTAAATCTAAAAACATTTTCCGCAATTCTAAAAGTTGCTGTAACGTATGGAACCTCATCATTATCTTTCTGATTTGAATGTTCATTCAACTAGATGGTTGGTGCATGTGAAGATCTTAAGTTTATGGAAAGAACCTACTTCTTCTTGGAGGACAGAGATCAAAATGATATTGGCTGACGAGAAGGTATAAAATTCTATGACTTATACGTTTCTTGCTCTTTTTTATAGAATGTTTCTTTGTTTTGCTAAAACTCATGCCAAAATTTTTGATTTCAAAAGGGAAACAGGATCGATGCAACCATTCCAAATCGCCATTACCACTGGAATTTCCTGGCTGTATTGAAACCAGGGTTATGGTATCGCATGTCTGACTTTGAGGTTGTGCGCCCTGATGAGAAGAAAACCAAATATTCTTGCTTCCCAGTCGAAATCAAATGCATCGCAGACACTACCATGTGGCCTATTACTGTAAAATGTCCTTACAGTTTTTTTGATTTTGTTTTCCCACAAACTGTTGAATTTGCACAGGAAGAGGAAAAAGAGTTTGTGACTGGTAAGAGATTTTTTAATGTTAGACAGTTTTAGATTATAAAAACCTTACTGAACTCTTTTTTATCTTAATATCATGTCCTTAGATGCTATTGGTGTTGTCAAGGCTGTGACTACCATCAAACGGTTTCCTTATGTCTGTCAGAATGGAGGGACAGATTATGAGTCAAGATATGTGGCTTTCAAGTTAGTGGACTATGAGTAAGTTTGACTTCAATTAAGTTTGTAAAATCCATTGTTGTTATTTTCATATCATTTGAAATTCTTTTTTTACATAAAAGTTTTGTTCAAACATACTATAGGGGTTTGGAGATCAAGTGCTGTGCTGTTGGTAGGTGCTGTGAGTTGTTTGTAAACAAATATGCTCAACAGATTAGTAAGATTACTTACAACTACCAACCTATAGTCGCTGTTCTCCGAGGTTGGAGAATCACAGAGGTTTTTGGTAAGTTTTTCTATACAACTTTCATGAGGATAATTTGTTTTGTCTATAGTTCAAGGGTTATGATATTAAGCAGAAGAACAAGAATATGAAGTAGTTGACATCCAACAATGTTTTGTCTTTTTGGAGTTGTGTTTTTAATAAGTGGTTTAAGGCAACAGTTTCAACATTTGCTTCTGTTTTTTTAAATCCGGGAAATTTGTTTTGTTCTATTGGTTTTGTTTTGGTTTTCCTTACAGTTCATATCTATTGTTTGTGTTTGTGTTTGTGTTTTTATATAAAGGTATCAAGTTAGCGGTTTTATTCAGTCTAAAAGAGTATTGCTCAGTCTAAACAGAGTACTTCTGTCTATATTTGTTATTAACTATACTGCACTTTCATCCATGAATATAGGTTCAAATGTTTTAATGAGTGAACATGGTTGTTCCCAGATCTACCTAAACCCAAGGTTTCCGGATGTAGATGTCCCAAGATACATGTAAGATTCAATTCTAGCTTATGATTCAAAAAACTACCTTCTTTTGTTGTGTTTCTACACTCACTCTTTGTGGAATTTACACAGTCATGATTTCATGGAGATGCAAAGAGCTGACGATGACAATGTCATGATGGAGGTGGTTGCAGAGAACCAGTAGATGTTCATTGCTGTTTGGTGGAGGACCTATGTTTAATTATGTTCTGTTTTATGTTTTCGTATTTCAGTTTCAGTATTGAACTCTTTTGTTTTTGTTTATGCAAACATTTGGTAACCCGGGTTCATATGTAATAAGTCAAACTTTGATTTATTACGTATACTTCTATCTATATCATGATAGATTCAAGCTATTTTCTAAAACTTTTTGTTTTACTATTTGCTGTTGTGTAATGGGAGTACTCTGACAGACTTCAAAGACATGCCTAAACCTACTCAAGAAGGTATAGATCATTCAAACCGTTTCATTACAGAAGAGAAAAATTATAACCGTGATAAGTTGCGAGAAGACCATGATGAGTGGGTTAATAAGATGACTTCTGAGCAAAAAGGCATTTATGATGAGATCATTGGTGCTGTTTTAGAAAACAGTGGAGGTGTCTTCTTTGTTTATGGATTTGGGGGAACCGGTAAAACTTTTATGTGGAAAACTCTATCTGCCGCAGTTCGAATGAGGGGTTTGATTTCTGTCAATGTTGCGTCTAGCGGGATTGCTTCTTTGTTGTTAGAAGGTGGTAGAACTGCACATTCTAGGTTTGGCATCCCTATTCATCCTGATGATTTCACAACATGTCATATCGTGCCTAACTCAGACCTTGCTAATATGCTTAAGGAAGCATCTCTTATCATATGGGATGAAGCTCCTATGATGAGTCGTTATTGTTTTGAGTCATTGGATAGAAGTCTAAATGATGTTATTGGAAATGTCGATGGAAAGCCATTTGGTGGTAAAGTTGTTGTTTTCGGAGGTGATTTCAGACAAGTACTCCCTGTAATACATGGTGCTGGTAGGGCAGAGATTGTTTTAGCTGCATTAAATTCATCTTATCTCTGGGAACACTGCAAGGTCCTCACTTTGACAAAGAACATGCGTCTTATGGCTAATGATTTGGATAAAGATGAGGCAGAGAAAATTAAAGAGTTTTCTGATTGGCTCTTGGCCGTTGGTGATGGTAGAGTTTCAGAGCCTAATGATGGTGAAGTTCTCATAGATATTCCAGAAGATTTACTGATTAAAGATGTAAATGATCCTATTGAAGCTATTATCAAAGCAGTTTACGGAGAATTGGATTTGTTGCAGCCTAATAATGATCCTAAATTCTTTCAAGAGAGAGCTATATTGTGTCCAAGAAATAGTGATGTCAACACCATCAACGACATCATGCTTGAGAAACTTAATGGTAAGAATTACGTTTTAATACTATAATCTTTAACTGTATATGTATAAGAAACTTATCTAACAAATTTTCCCTAAACAGGTGAAGCAATGACTTATTTAAGTGCAGACGATATTGATCCTCAGGATGGTGCTTCATTGAACAATCATGTCTTCACACCTGATTTCCTCAATAGTATCAAGCTTTCTGGTTTGCCAAATCACAGTCTCAGTCTCAAGATTGGTGCACCGGTTATGTTACTGAGGAATATTGATCCAAAAAATGGTCTATGTAATGGTACTAGATTGCAGATAACGCAGATGGGTAATCATATACTTGAAGCCAAAGTGATTACTGGAGATAGAATCGGAGACAAAGTGATAATCCCTAAATCTCAGATATCACCTTCAGATACCAAATTGCCTTTTCGCATGAGGAGAAGACAGTTTCCAATATCTGTGGCTTTTGCAATGACAATAAACAAAAGCCAGGGACAATCACTTAAAGAGGTAGGGATTTATCTTCCTAGACCAGTATTTTCTCATGGCCAGCTGTATGTTGCCTTATCAAGAGTCACTTCCAAAAAAGGTTTGAAAGTTCTTATTGTGGATAAAGAAGGAAAAACTCAGAGTCAAACAATGAATGTCGTCTTCAAAGAGATCTTTCAGAACCTAAGGAATTAGGATAGTTTTAGTTTTTTTGCTTCTGTTATTTAACTTTGTAGATGTTTTGTATTGTTTTTTAGAACAGCAAGTTCCTTTCCATAGTCATTTTAATCCAAACATAATCAGACTCTCTGCAACTACAGTAGTGTAAGTTTAAGAGTTCATTTCTAGACAACAAAATCAAGAAACCTTAGTTCAATTATAACTCCGATTGAGACAAACAACAACTTCAATTTGTGTCTACAACTGAAAAAACAGATCCAAAACTAACCTTATAGAAATGACAATTGCTTTAAGTGTTGTCGATTTGCAAAATTTGATCTGCAAATGGTTTCATTCATCCTCTGTTCTTCACTGATCCCCTCTCCCAGATTTCTAACAGAAACAAATTCATCATCTCAAGTGCTTTATCCGAATCCTATATGAAAAAGGTAATTGATCACAGAATCTAAATTATCTTGAAACAATTCAATTGAATTAGAATGAAGCTTACATCATAAGAAGAATTGGCGCAGAGATGTGAGCTTATGATCTGATTATCAGCTTCTTCGGTATCATCGGTAAAGCTTAAGCGTGTCAATGGGTGTTAACTCTCGGTGGAGAACGAGAATCATCGTTCTCATATGTTTTTTTTTTTTTTTTTTTTGTTTTTTTTAATTTATTTAAATACACAACTTATGTGTCTTTAATTTTTAAAAAAACATAATTTTAATTTTATTTGTTTACTTTATCTTCAATTTTTTAAAAATTTTTAATAAATGTTAGAATCTTTGTTATGCTAAAAACAAATTCTCTTCAAAACTATATAGTAAAAGAACACTTATAATCACAAAAACAATTACACCACTTTTACTATTTCACATTTTAATATCTACTTTTACTTATATTAACATTACAAACCCATTTTATAATTAATACACCTATTTAAATATATTAAATCACATTCTTCTAAGTATTACATAACAACCAACCAATTAAAATACCACTTATTAGTTAAAAATGATTTAATTTAAAAACCAAGTTTATACCAGTTGAACATAAAACATAATCAACTACTTAATAAGAAAACCGCACAAAATCTACGCCCGCGGGATACCGCAGGTTAAATCCTAGTTTCTTTTGTTAAAGAAAATGGCATCTTCTTCTAATAATTTTGATGATTCGTTTGAAGAATCTTTTGAAGAATTTTTTGATCAAGGCTTTGATACTTATTTCGATAATCATGGTGCTCGTCGTAAATCAACCACGTCAAAGAAAAAGCGAGCGTATATTGAAAGAGAGCATGAACAAGGACACATCCAGTTAGTTCACGATTATTTCAGGGAAAACCAACATTTCCTCCTTATATATTCCGACGCCGTTTTCGAATGAACAAACCCTTGTCAGACCTAAACAACTACAGGTCATTTATCCAAGGACCGAACGGGGCTGAGAAAGCAGGAACTCTCTCTAAGAAATGCACTAGTTAGAAAGGACTTCCCTTTGGCCTTTCTAACCATTCAAACAGGGAATCGAGCTAAACGGCTCCCATTTGAGGGGAAGCTAGCTGTTCAGATCCCCGCTTCAATACCTATGCGAATATCGGAATCTTCCTTTATTCCTTTTGCCGCCGCAAGGCTGGCTAATCGTACGCAGCATGCTCGAAGACCCCCTGGTTCTGGAAGGCACATGAGTCCGAACGCTATGTTGAATGTGCGACCGACACTACGTAGGTACCAGTGCAGGTGAGGCGTCGGTCGGTCCTAGAAACGGCGGCCGATGAAGTTTCATTTTTTCAACAAAGACCAGATGCTACCGGAAGGTTCGGTCTCTCTCCACTACAAAAAGTTACAGCAGCAATTCGTATGCGAGCATATGGATGTGCGGCCGATGCGTGTGACGAATACCTCCGGCTTGGAGAAAGCACTGCAATGTCATGCTTGGAAAATTTTGTTGAAGGAATCACTAATTTGTTCGGAGATGAGTACTTAAGAAGACCTACACAAGAAGATCTTATCCGACTACTCCGTATCGGAGAGAGACGCGGATTTCCCGGGATGATAGGAAGCATCGATTGTATGCATTGGGAATGGAAAAATTGTCCCACCTCTTGGAAAGGGCAATATACGCGTGGATCTGGAAAACCGACGATCGTTATAGAGGCTGTAGCTTCACAAGATCTTTGGATATGGCATGCATTTTTTGGACCTCCAGGTACATTAAACGATATCAATGTTCTTGATCGTTCTCCAGTATTTGATGATATATTACAAGGTCAAGCTCCAAATGTGGAATACGTAGTGAACGGACGCGATTATCATTTGGCTTACTATCTCACCGATGGAATTTATCCAAAATGGGCTACATTTATCCAATCTATTTCAATTCCACAAGGTCCGAAAGCATCTTTATTTGCAACACATCAAGAAGCTTGTCGGAAAGATGTCGAGCGTGCTTTTGGAGTTTTGCAAGCTCGCTTTGCAATTATCAAAAATCCAGCTCTTAAATGGGATAAGGTAATAATTGGAAATATTATGCGAACATGTATAATACTTTATAATATGATCGTAGAAGACGAACGAGATGGGTACACTCAGTTTGAAGTGGACGAATTCACACAAGCGGGATCAACAAGCGGTTCACAAGTAGATTTCAACTATTCTACAGAAATGGCTTCAAATCTCGGAAATATGATGGCCACTCGAGCTCGACTTCGTGATCGAACAATGCATCAACAAGTGAAGTCGGATTTGGTTGAGCATATTTGGCAAAAATTTAGACCAAATTGAAATCAAATATTTTGTTATGTATGTCTAAAATTTTATGTCATGTATGTTATAAATTTTATGAATTTTAATAATTATTAAATTTTCTAAAATTAAGAATATTTATATTTTTTTTTTGTAAGAGCCCCAACTTAAGATGCTACCATTGGACACATACAAAATTTAAAATTCTTAAACAAACTCTTAAGTTTAATTTTTTCAAAATCAATATTAAAAAATTCTAAAGAACCCCAACTTAATATCCCATGGTTGGAGATGCTCTTAGAGCAACCCGAATGATGGTTTTTTAACCAAGTATCTTAACATTGGGACAACAAAAATATAATTATTTAATTGTGTGAGTTTCTTGAATAGTGAAGAAACTCTCTCCAAAATCTCTTATATAAGGTACATTGACGGAGAGGGTTTCTTCACTATTCAAGAAACCCACATATTTTTTTATTAATACATTTTCTCTCACTTTGTTCTTAAAGTCTTTATTTCGTCTCCCTTTTATAAGATTCTGTCATTGATGCTCGAGAATTACATTCTTTGAATTGAAGATCATTTCTCTGTTTCTCAGGTAAGCAAGTTCGAATTTGAGAAATTCCGATCAGATTATATGATGTTGAATTCTTAAAGTCTCTTCCTTTTTTCGTTTTCTAGATTACCCATTTGAACAAAAAATGGAACAAGAACATGTAGAAGTCAAAAAGAGAGTAGCTTTTGTCCTAATCGATGGTTTAGGAGATGTATCAATACCGAAGTTAGGTTACAAAACTCCATTACAAGAAGCAAACATACCTAATCTTGACGCAATTGCTTCAGCTGGAATCAATGGTTTAATGGATCCTGTAGAAGTTGGTTTAGGTTGTGGTAGTGACACTGCTCATCTTTCTCTTATGGGTTATGATCCAAGAGTGTATTATAGAGGTCGTGGTGCGTTTGAGTCTATGGGTGCAGGATTAGCTATGTCACCTGGTGATATAGCTTTCAAGGTTTGTGCTTTTTTTTGTTATCTTCTTGTTTTGTGTACATTCAATGGTTTTGTTTGACATTGTGAGGATTGTTTTTGTCTATGTAGTCTAATTTTGCAACTTTGGATGAGAAATCTGGAGTTGTTGTTAGTAGAAGAGCTGATCGACATTTCGAAGAAGAAGGTCCTATACTTTGTGCAGCTCTTGATGGAATGAAACTTCAATCTTTCCCTGAGTATGAAGTGAGAGTCAGGTTGCAAAATGTTTTTCTTAGTGTTTATGATTTTGGGTGGCTTGGGGTTTTTGCTTAAGTTTGTTTTTTTTACCGATAGATATGCGACGGAGCATAGGTGTGGTGTGGTTGTAAAGGGGCCAAGACTTAGTGGGAATATATCTGGAACTGATCAATTGAAAGATAATCGTTTGCTTCTTGAGGCTAAACCTTTGGATGAATCAGAAGAAGCTAATCACACTGCTAAAGTTGTTAACGAGTTATCAAGAGAGATATCGCACATTCTTGTTTCTCACCCGATTAATGCAGAGAGAGCTGCACAAGGCAAGAATATTGCGAATCTTGTTCTTTTACGTGGCTGTGGTATTCGAATCGAGGTCTGTGTTTCAGTACTTTACTTGCCTCGTAGAAATGATTTTAATGAATATAATTGCTTCATGTACATCTGTGTTACGGGTTTTGTGTATTTAGGTACCTCCTTTTCAAGAGAAGCACGGTTTGTGGCCGTGTATGGTAGCACCAACAAAGATTATAGCTGGACTTGGTATGTCTCTCGGTATTGACATTCTAGAAGCTCCAGGAGCCACTGGAGATTACCGGACGCTTCTGACATCGAAAGCAATTGCTATAGCCAATGCGCTCTCAGCTCCTTTGAATCCCTGCCCAAATGTTTTTGTACCGGGAGAGGACGGGCACAAACCAGGAAGGTCTGATGGTTATGATTTCGGGTTCCTTCACATAAAGGTTGCAACTTTTTTTTTTTTTCTGTCTTTTAACAGAAAACATCAAAGTTTCCATTCTGATTTTCGACCAAATTTTTATATTCTTGCAGGCTATAGATGATGCTGGTCATGACAAGGCGACAATGTTCAAAGTTCGAGGTTTAGAAGCTGTTGATAAGGCAATTCGTCAGCTTGCTAAGCTTTTATGGCAAGCTGAATCTTCTACAAATTACCAGTATTTCTTGTGTGTGACCGGTGATCATTCAACTCCTGTTGAGTATGGGGACCACAGCTTTGAGCCTGTCCCATTCACAATGTGTCGATTAAGTGACTTTGTGAGCGCGGTTGGAGGAGAATCAGCCTTATTAGAGACATCTTTGGACCCTTTTCCACTTCCAACAGTTGTGGAATCAAGTGAAGATGTCACCAAACAAGAGGAAGACAATGGGAGGAGGGAAACTCCTCCGGCAATTGGTGGAGATTCAGTTGCAGAGTTGAATGAGATTGCAGCTGCAAGAGGATGTCTTGGCCGTTTCCATGGCGGTGAAATGATGGGAGTCATCACTAAGTTTCTTAAACTAGAGGTATGAATTTCGTAAACTTTTGCATTTTTCTTTGAGAACTTGGATTCTGGAAGTGTAATAAAAATACCAAACTCTGACAATTTAGGTTTAGTTATTGTCGTTTAAAGTTGGAAAAAATGTCTAATCCGCTTCTTTTGGTTTAGTTTGATTGTTTTTTTCTTCTACTTTGATTGGTAACCCTTTATCGCAATGGTAACGGTGTTCCGTTTTGGCGAATACCCGCAATCTCGATTTATTTACTTGAATCTGGGATAGTAAAATTACCGGACTCTTTAGTTACTTGCAGTCACATTCTATAAGTTAGTTTAATGAATTCATGAGTGTTAAGACAGTTTCAAGTGAGGTTAAGAGAGAGTTTGTTAAACTCCACTCCACATACACATAACACATTAGTACATTACCAAGCCCACAACTTTCAATTTTCGTTTCTGCCGTAACACCAACCTAGTTTTCGTAACAAATTTATCATCAAACAAGTTGATAAATGAGATATTGGTGTTCACAAATTTTCTCACCTCTTCTGGAAATTCAGAATCTTAACAGAGAAAGCATAAATAAATACAAAAAACAAAGAGAAAGCAATGAGGGTAAGTGAGACAACCCACAAGAAGTTGTATTCATAACCATAATAATTCTTCATGAACTCAACAACCGTCTCACCCGTATCGAGCCTCGTTTCTACATCTCCGTATTGAGCTATCGTCAATCCGTACAACCCCCACCACCCTGGACACACGTAGGTGAACCATCTCAACCATACATGCATTCTCTGCAAAGTTAATATCCCTTTAATTATAAGCATTCATAGCCAAGCTGAAACTACTATACTTGATTAATTGTAATGTTTTGTTACAAAATTTAGAAAGAGGCTCTATAGAGTTGGTTACTTACGGGACGAGGAATGGTGAATCCTGAAAAGACGTTCCACGATGTGGATATGACACCATTGAGTATCGAAGCGATTTCTTGATTAGGACTTACGGAAATGACCATAATACCAGTGTATATAGAGTAGAGGATGCTGATGAAGGTAAAGAATATGTTCAAAAAAAACTTGGAAGCAGTCCATTCGTATCCTATCATCCCATAGACAATAACTCCATAGATGCAAGCTTGAGCCATTGTATATGGAATCTCGATTATCACCTTCAAAATGGTTTAATTTTTAAGTTTATAAACCAAAACGTATGATAGGATTAATTGGTACATAGAAAATGAAATACTTGTGAAAATGCATAGGGTAGAGCTGAGTACATCCCAGCACCGTTTTCTCGGTAGAAAACTGTACGTTCAGCGATTGCGACAGGACGTATAGTAGCAGCACTTTGTGAGCTTAAGAAGCCAACAACAGTTGACATAGCGCCTACACTGTTGAAGATATCTTGTCTTGTTCCTTTTCTTTTTCCGAGGCTCCAAAAGATTATTCCATACATGATTCCAACAGCAGCCCCGAAACTGAGACGCACCGCGTTATAAGGAACATTTCTCCAATATGATTTGTGTTGCTTCCACAAGCAAGCTTGGAATTGAGAGAGATATGATTGTGAATATTTTGTTGAGAAATGAATGTCTTGTGCATGAGAGGGAACCATGTTCAGCTCCTTAATAAGATCTTTGTTTCTCCTGTATCCACACAAACAAATATTTGTGAGATTGTTCAATTAGTGTTTCTATGAATTCTTACTTGTAACTCAAATTACCTATAGAGGTTTGAGTTTTTGTATACTTGAGAAAATCTGACACCTAGAACATCTTCTTGTGCCATTGTTGTCACTTCAAGAGCCCATGTTGCTGGATTGTAACCTTCCTTTATTTTTCCTACTCCTCTTATTTCCTAGAAATATCTCGTTCTGTTATTGTGAGGAATGAGATGGTGTTGAGCCAATAACTTCACTTATTCTCTCTTACCTCAAAATATGTGATTAGTTGAGAGGAATGGTGTCCAATTGGACCAACATAGATCTCTTCTCCTCCTCTTGCCAACAAGAAAAGCTATAGAAATGAAAGTTATGTGCATAGCTAAAGGTAGAAGATATATAAATAGAAAAAAAAATAATGCTTAGTTACCTCATCAAAGGATTCAAAAATATCGATACTCGGCTGGTGAATGGTGCATACAACCGTTCTTCCAGTGTCAACAGTGTTTCTAACGGTTCTCATGACAATCGCGGCAGCTCTTGCATCCAAGCCGGATGTTGGCTCATCCATGAAAAGAATAGAAGGATTGGCTACAAGCTCTACTGCGATTGTCATTCTTTTTCTTTGCTCCGTCGAAAGCCCACTAATTCCCACATATCCTACCAACATCTCCCTCAATGGTTTCAACTCTATCAATTCCATTACCTCTTCAATAAAGAGCTGCACATCTCTGTTAGTTATATGGTTTCTTGAATCTTATAACGGTTATCGACAATCGTATATTAAAAAACACAAACCTCTCGAGTATGTGTGTCAATATCAGGGGGCAACCTCAACCATGCCGAATAAAGAAGAGACTCATAGACAGTTAAAAGAGGGGAATGGATG